TACAAGAACAAGTTCACTAAACATGACTCGAAATGATAATACTATATGGTAGTTCATATAGTGTCTATAGCTACATTCTCATACAATAGTTTTATAAATAATCTCTTGATTTGATTTTTTTTAATCTTATATGATGAATGTTATACTTTGACTTTACTTTACTTATGATTCTAACCAATATTGCTTCAATCGAGTATTGTTGGATATAACATGAGGTATATAAAGATGCATAAAGTAATCAATATGAGATTTATCACCTTGTGTGATCAAAAGAGTATCTCAATTAGTCGTGATTGAATTAACTTAAGAAATTTTTAGTCAAAGTGAAATAAAAGTTTAGAATTCTTTTAAAGCTTATTTGTGAGTTAATGTCTATATAAAGCTTAACATAACTGAACAAGATTAAGTAGATGCTAAATCATATTCAATGTTCAAACCGAGATGCTTAGTGACAAAATGATATTAATTATACATTAATACCATGCACATATAGGTTGTCAAGTCACATTGACTTTCTTTAGCAATTTGGGTCATAATAATATAGTTAGCATTGATCATGATCTTATAAGATTGACTAATTGGAGAATTAGTGATGAAGTCAAAAGGTTTGATTCATCTAAGCCGAATATAAGGATTACAATGCTTATGTTTTATCGTTAACATGCTAAGAACCTAATAAATCATACACAATAAAACAATTGTGAAAGATTAAATTAAGAAAAATTAAGTTTAATTTAATTTGGTTTGGATCAAACCCAAAGATAGAGGAAATAAACAAGGGACATAATGTTTTTTTGTTACGTACATTCGGCTAGCATAAATGGCTAATTGGAAATTATACAATTTATATACACAACCCTAAGTTGGTCGAACCCTTTCTATAAAAAGAATATGAGCCACCTTTTTTGTAAGATGCTAGTTGCAAAAATAAGCTAAGTGCAACTCAAAATAACAAACTTGAGATACAAAAGAAAAAGGTTTTGAAATACTTACTAACTAGAGTATTAGCTTTGTTCTTCCTATCCTTAGATAAGGTTCTTTCACAAGTATTTATGTGGATCATCATTAGAAATTGTACACTTGGATAACTATTTGGCTTGCAATAGAATTTGGGTGATCACTAGCTTGGAGCAAATCAAAGTCAGTATTATATGTAACCACCCTTGGCCGAAACCCATATATGTTATGTTGTATGATTTGTTTATCAGTATTGGCTTTAAGGGGTTAAAAATTTTAAAATTCCATTGCTATAATGCTGTATGTTTATACATAATTCCCTTTAAGTCGTATCAAAGCCTTGTAAATATAGATTATACAACTTGGAAACTTGTTTGTTTATTTATGATATCAAACTATTTTGATTGCAATTTTTTACTATGATGTAGAGGCTAAAAAGTTAATTTTTTTATATTTTTTATTGAATTCTTTTAGAATATTAAATCATGATGTCATAGGATGATTGGGTATGAATTTTATGATTTTTGGACATTGTTTGCATACTTTATGAATTTTTTGTTTGCAATCTATCCACAAAAAGGAAAATTCTACTATAGTAATATTGCAAAAATTGTTTCTCACTCTAGAGTTATTATTTTCCCGCAAAATTTTTAACATGTTAAAATAAGCATTTGATGATCATTGTGTTAAATTTTGAGAATTTTTGGAGTTGATTTGGTCATTCCAAAGTTGATGACAAATTCTACCCAAAAATTTGTCAATGACAGCTGGACATGTATAATATACATGTGATGCATAAAAACCCTAATATGATTATGGTAATTCATTTTCTTGATACAGCTAGTATTCTTAAATGTTAAGAGACTAAAAAAACTTGTTCACTAAAGTTTTGATGAAAACCAATTTGGTAATCAATATTGGGAATCTTAAAAAATTTATTTATCAAGATTTTAAGATTTACTTTCTTGATCACCAAGTATAATGGATTGTTTTTGTAAAAGCCTAAGTAATTGTTACTTGTAATTAAAGAATCATGGCCAAAGGCATAAGAAAGCATAAGAAAGAGTTTAGAACTCTTGGATAATGGCCTAGTAAGGGCTACATAGTAGCCAAAGCCAAAACTACCAAGTTTTCATCTAAACAACCCTAGTTGCATGACATTTTCCTATTTTGAAAAGAATTCGACCAAACCCTAGTATGATATTGATTCTTGTTGAATTTGGATTCTTAAATGGTTTGGGTTTGTGAAATTAGATTTCATATAAAAATTCAAATTTAATTGAACTTTCTTAATTGTTTGGAGCTTCTAATTAACAAGAAACTACTTCACTACAACAACTAGTTGGACTAGAAAATTCCTAATGAATGCATTCTGGCTTGGTTTTAATTGATTAGTATTCTTAAATTGTTTAGAATGATGATAACCATATTACATTAAAATCCAAGTAGAATTATAATTTCTTAATTATTTAAGAAATTATGATTGCAAATTATAATTTCTAAGACACAAGTTAGACATATTCGGCCACCTAGCTATACATGTTTATGCCTTGTACCATATTGAGTTAGATTGATATTTGATATGTGATATTGATATTGATTCAAATAATAGATGTGTAAGATCATGAATTTGAACTGAACATGATATCTTTGATATGTAAAGAAGTATGCATGTTAGTTACAAGATAAATACCATATATGCTATGTTGGTTTGTTATTATACATGTTAGAATTTATATGTGATAAATGTCATGTATAATTGTGAGATGCATGATAAAATTTCATGTATTGGATATGTGATGAATTCTTATATATGCTATATGAGACCTATGATAAATTGAAATCCTTCATGAAAATATTAAATCTTGATATCTTTTGTTAACATAAACAAGAAAACTTTCTACTAGTGAGCGCTTGTTAAGCTAAATTCAAGGCACTCATTATATGAAATAAGGTTGTATTATGGTTAGTTAGTCTTACTTAATTGACACAATATTGTTTGGATGCACAAAAACTTAATCGTATAATGTTGGAGGCAATGATTGAGTGAATCACATTTATTATGATTAGATAAGGAGTTGTCATCCAATTGATTTAGGAGTTGCATGAGATGTGATTGATAAGTAAGTTATCTACCTAATTTATTTGTTCTAACTTGTTGAGCTAAACTCAAAGTTATGATAAACTAACTGGAATTCTAACCCGTTAGAAAATATGATTTTTTTAAATTGATAGTGAGAGATATTAATTTGATCAAAATAGTGGGAGCAACCAACATATGGGTTTATTATCTATATTAGTATTGAATAATATGACTAATACTTATTCATATTTTATAAGTTCTAAAAGATGAGTAGTAACTTGTCACTTCGTAACATACTTGATGCTAGCAAGTTTACAATATTTCAATGTTGGACTTAATTTGGATTGGGTTAGACCTAAAGATAGAGGAAATAAACAAGACAAACAATGTCTTCTTGTTATGTACATTTGGCCAAAATAAAAGGCTAATTAGGAATTATGCAATTTATACACAACCCTAAGTTGGTCGAACCCTCTCTTATAAAAGGAATATGAGCCACCCCTCTCACAAGATGTTAGATGCAAAAATAAGCTAAGAGCAACTAAAAAGAACAAACTTGAGACAGAAGAAAAGAGGGTTTTGAAATACTTACTTGCTAAAGTGTTGGCTTTGTTCCTCCCATCCTTAGAAAAAGTTCTTTCACAAGTGTTTGTGTGGATCGCCATTAAAGGCTATACATTTGGATAGCTGTTTTGCTTGCAAAAGAATTTAGGTGATCACTAGCTTGGAGCAAATCAAAGTCGACATTAGAGGTAACCACCATTGGCTTAAACCCATATATGTTATGTTTGTATGATCTTATTTATTGATTTTGGCTTTAGAGAGTTAAAAATTTTTAAAATTTTACTGTTATAACTTTATATGTTTATAAATAATTCCTATCATCATGTGCTTATATGAATAAAATTATCTCTTGATGTAATGCTTACATGGTCAAAATGCTTGTTTTTGTGAAATAATTTTGAAATTTATCTTTGTACTTAATTGTTAATTCAAAATTTATTTTTTTTAATTATGATTATGATTGAAATATACTTTATTTTTGTTCTTAATTGTTAATTCAAGATTTATTTATTCGCTTACGCCTGTGAATTGAATGAACATTTTTATCTTAAAAGAAATATATTCTTGGTTCATCTATTTTTTTATCAAGTTGTATGCTTATATCATTATTGATTAAGTTTGATCTTATTGATTGAAATTTTACATGACATTAAGTGAATGAATTATTTGTGATGTTTATTTACACCTTAAATTATAGTAGAAGTTAGCTTATAATTTGTTTTGACATTTTCTTTTGTGTTAAAGTTTTCTTAAATATATTTAAATGATAAATATATCTTCTTTGATTTTTCAAATTTTATATGATCTAACATTTGTATTGAAATATTGATTTGAGTTGAAATTCTTGAATATATTTGAATATTAAATATGCTTTGTTTATGCTTATTATTTTTATATATGATCTAAAAGGATTCATATTTTGCATATTATTTAAGAGCTTTAGTTTAAATGTCACCATTGTGCAATTTCATATTTAATATAATATATGGCTTATAACTTAAATTAATATTAGATAAATTATATTTTAATTGAATATACCTCTTTTGCAATAAATAATTTGTATTTAGTGAATAAATTTTTTTAATTTATAATAAATTAAAATATGAAAATCATCCATGCATACCTAAATCTCAAAAGCATAATAAGTTTCCTTAATTGTTTCTTTTGAATCTTGATCAACTCAACTTGATTGTCGAGTAAAAATATTAGGAATCAAAGATTCAAATAGTATCTTAAAAAAAATTTTCTAATCATATCTCATTTTTTTTCTTTTCACATCCATTTTTTTAATTATATTTAAATAAAATTACTTAATTATTTTATTTCATATCAAATTTAATATTTTATTATATTAATATATATTAGTTTTTGCTCAAAATTTTTTTGTAAAGGCTGCCTCCTATATAACGGCTGCCGACTGCCCTACCCATGGCATTTCTCGAAGTGGACTGGCAGAGGAAAAACCAAAATATTAGCCGTGGCAAACTCCCCGCACAACTGACTCCAACAGTCACTGAATCTCATTGCAACGCTCGTCCATCAAGCTTCAAGCCTCTCAAAGTGGGAAATATCTAGGTAACTAACCCATGTGTACTCGGCGCATCTGTAGACAATTTGTTTGATAAATTTTCTGCAAGAAAGTTTCTCCCAATTTCATCCTCATTTATAGAATACAATGCCCTGAACATAACCTTCTTCTTTTTTTTTTTTTGGTGATTTGATACTTGGTAAAGGAAATGTTGGGAATTAGATGAAGTATTTTCCCTGATGCTATAGCTTCTTCTTGAACCGACAAATTTTGAGGCTGCTCGTACTCAAATGATAAATACGTTGGTTCTTCCCAGGCCTAGCAAAGTATGTATAATCTTCATTATTATGTATATGATACTTCCGGTTATTAGTTTTGAGAGGAAAGGAGCTCTATTTATCTGAATCAGATTCCATTATAACCTTTGTTTGCTGCTTTGACCACCTGTACTCATCATAATTGAAAAAAGAAAAAATCATTGCTCATTTCTGCTATTTGGTTCTTAATAACGTTATGGTGATCGGTATCCCTTATTCTATGTTTCTTTGTCCATATAATGCATCAAAATGATATAATTCATTCCTAGCTTTATATAACAGGAGAATCATTTTGATGAAGTTTCTTATCAATTAATTACAAGATATTAAATCTAGAACATGTTTTCATCATTCACTGTTTTTTGATGCTTGACCATTACTCAATTTCATGGTTTTGCTTTGCCTTTATACTTGGTACTGTTGCTTTTGTTATAGGCATTGAAGTTTTCCTCTACAACACTTGATGGGTTAGGCAAATCAAAGTACAGGAGTCCGAAGATGGAGCTAACCCTAACTCAACCTGATGATTGGCATCTTCACCTCCGTGATGGTGACCTTCTTCAAGCTGTTGCCCCTCACAGGTTGTTTTACTTTAATAACATCTTTTTAATAGTTGACTTTAGGGGTTTTCAATTTTTGGAAATAACTGAAATGACTGAAATCACTGTTGCAAGTTAGTTAAACTGGTACTTTGGTTACTGTCGTATATAATCAAAGTTTTAGTGAGTTTTTTAGTCGGTTATGGTTTCCAAATTTATCTACCTGGACCCACCGGATAACCAATTCAAATTCCATATCTATTATTTGAAATATACTATATATTTTTATACTGATTGAAACTATCCCCGCATTATATTTTCACATCTTCCGAAGATCCTAACCTCATGGCTCTGTTTCTCACTCAACTCTTGTTGCTCCGCATCCTATAGCCCTTCCATATACATACATCTATTGCTTTCCTATCTCCAATGCCATTTTGTGGGTAGATTGTACTTTGTTTCTGTTCTTCATTTCTTATGGAACTTAGAGTATCCCGTTATCCTAAGTTGATAGTATAATCCTTTTTTTATTTTTTCGATTTCTTTCTTTTCTTTTCGTTTTTCAATCGACAATCATAAATGCTTTTAGTTTGGTTGGATTTTTTTATTTCTCATTTCTACAAAAGGCTTTATAGGAATTCCTTTAGCAATTAGAACAGACATATTTTTTTTAACTTTTCTTCTTTCCCACTTTAAATGGTACTAATTTTTGGCCGAAAGAAATTTGTACTACCTTCTTTTTGGCTCTATAGTGTGTTGGTTCTTATCAAAATTTGATTACACAATTAACTGAAAACTTTTGATTGATTTTCTTAAGCATTTACTTATCTATTCCATTAAATTTACCATTCTTTTCCCCATTTTCTAATATTTCAGCTGATTTATAATTCCATTTTTTAGATTTGTGCTTCTTTTTGTTAGTGAAAGATCTTCAATTCCCCTTTTTTGGGATGCGAATGTTCAGTCGTCTTGCTGCTCTGTAGGTTTTCCTGTTTTGTGATTCTTTATTGAGCATCAATGTTGGTAGCCATTTTAAATGTAACCTATTTTATATTATGCTTAAACAGAAAGGAGAAAAGATTAACAATGTCTTGCCTGGATCTGAAGCACAGCCTAAGAAAACAGGAAAAGCTTTATATATCAGGTTTAGGCATAAGAATCTACTTAGTAATATTTGGTTTATGAACGTACTGACTGAATTAATCGACACATCTGAGTTTCTTGGTTAAGCAGTTATCCTAATCAGTTGGTCAGTTTCTGTTCCAAAAAAGTTAAAAGCTTGATTAATTCGACTTTAACAAATCTTTGACTGAATTAACCAAACTGATCATTTGCTCACCCCCAGTTGATTTGAATTACATCTTCAATTATCGGGAAATTATCTTCTGACTACATTTTGAATGATTGTGATTTTTTTTTTTTTATCTAATTAATATTATCTGTGCAGTGCAAATCACTTTGGAAGGGCAATAGTGATGCCGAATTTGAAGCCTCCCATTACAACCACTGCTCTTGCTATTGCTTATAGAGAATCCATCTTGAAAGCATTGCCTGCTGATAGCAACTTCACTCCACTAATGACACTATATTTGACAGATACAACCAGTCCTGAAGAGATCAAGCTTGCTAGTAAGTCTATCTTATATTTAATATGGCATCTAGGATTTCTCATGTAGAAAACCACTACCTAGTTCCTTCCTCCCTCCCTCCCTCCCTCTCTCCCTCTCTCTCTCTCTCTCTCTCTTTCTCTTTGCAATTCGAGGCTTTTGCACTTATAGCCTTCTTTTATTTAGTCATTCACTTAGAATGATAATGCAAATACAATTAAACAAGCAACTTCTCTTATTTTTTTATTTCGCCCCTTTTGTTCTGACTTGAATCTTACAGTTTTGCTGACACTTTCGACTAATTCATTGACAGGAAGAAGTGGAGTTGTTTTTGCTGTTAAGTTGTACCCCGCTGGCGCAACCACAAACTCTCAAGATGGTGTTACAGATCTGTTTGGGAAATGCCTACCAGTTCTTGAAGAGATGGTTGAGCAAAACATGCCATTATTGGTAATTTGAATTATATTAAGCTCACTATTATTTGTTGGTTAACTAAAAGGCTCTTGTAAATTGGCAAAGATCATGAGTAAGCATTTGGTAGAAAGTAGAACATTTGAACAAGCAACACTATCCTAATGTGTATGAAAGAACTCACGAATATAGTACCTTAACATTTTATACAACAGTGTTCCTCTACTCTAAAACGATAAGGGCTTTTATAAGCGGGCAGCTTCCTTCTCTATCTCACTTATGTTAACATTTTTTAAAGGTTGCTTTCTCAAAAAAAGAGTGTGATTTCTGACATAACTTGAGAAAGGCAATTGCAGCTTAAATCACCTTGTCAATGTATCCAGAAATTGTTTTTTTACTGTACTTTTGTTGCTTACAATTTACTCATATAATGAAATCTATTTTAGAAAAAGTTTGAAATCTAATCTATTTATAGGTTCATGGAGAGGTCACAGATTCTACTGTTGATGTCTTTGATCGTGAGAAAGTGTTTATTGACACTGTGTTGCAACCTTTAATTCAAAGGCTTCCAAGTTTAAAGGTTGTGATGGAGCATATCACCACTATGGATGCTGTGAGTTTTGTTGAGTCTGGCGAAGAAGGTAAACTTGATTGCTTTTTTAGGGAAAAAATTTGCCATCTACTTTTCATTTTCTTGTTTTACTTGTAGAAATCAACCATGTCCTTTTAATTTCTTCCTTGTTTTCTCATTTAGCTCACAAGTTTTTTGTTTTCCTCTCTAGGATTTTTGGCTGCAACTGTTACACCACAACATCTTCTTCTCAATAGAAATGCTCTCTTCCAGGGAGGATTGCAGCCACATAGTTATTGCCTTCCAGTACTCAAAAGAGAAATCCACAGTATGTTCCATTCAACATATTCCATAATGCTGCAAATATGCATTGCTATCCATAAATGGATCATTGAACTTCCCTCTTTTATGCATTAGAATTAATTTTTACTAATTCTTGCTTTTGTGAAAAACATGATGTAATTAAGGTATGGGATTATACTTTTGTTACTTATGTTTTTAAAATTCATAGTATATACAGTCAACAGTACTTATAATAATTATGTCTTAACAGACTTTTTATACATGCTTCTCTTCCCAGGACAGGCTATTGTTTCAGCTGTGACTAGTGGAAGCAAAAGATTTTTCCTTGGAACTGATAGTGCTCCTCATGAGAGACGAAGAAAAGAATGCCCTTGTGGTTGTGCTGGAATTTACAATGCCCCTGTTGCTTTATCACTATATGCTAAGGTCTTTGAAGAGGTAACCTTCTTCATTATATAACTGCAAGTTTCTTTTTACCATTTTCATGAATCCTGCAATGGATTTTGAATCAGAGATAAGCCAATATTAATGGGATTAGGGGGTGGTTGTTAAGGGATTCTGAATGTTAATATTTACTATTCCAAATAGGAACATGTGCATTTGTAGGATTATAGTAGAAGTAATTGTAGGTGAAATACTCCCATTTTTAGAATTCCATTTGATCCACTTCATCTACCCAAAAGGGATCAGGTTTTAGGCATAGAATTTTATAAATATCAAGTACTAAAGATATATGTGGACAACCTCTTTCTCTCCTCGAATGCGCGAGGAGACCCAATAGGACACGAAAAAATATTGTTGCATATATTTTTCAAAATTGTAAGTAATAATAGTTCCTAGATCCTCATTGATACAGTCCTTTCCTGTTTTTGAAATCATATTTTGTAATCAATTAGTCGGGATGTCAAGTGTTGATAATGCAGTTGTTTTGTTACTTTTCTGTTGTTGATGTAATAGTAGACTCTTGTGGATGATTGAATACTCAGACAGCTAACATTTTGATTTGAATTTAGGTACGTTAAGTCACTTTTCTTTTTTTTTTTTTATTTTGGTTAATTATAGGCGGGTGCACTTGATAAATTAGAAGCATTTACAAGCTTCAATGGACCAGACTTCTACGGTCTTCCAAGAAACACCTCAAAGATTAAATTGATGAAGACTTCATGGAAGGTACCAGAGTCTTTCTCGTTTTCATTTGGTGATATTATTCCTATGTTTGCAGGTGAAACACTTCAATGGCAACCATGCTTCTCTTGATTCTGATATTTCGTTTATCTATCCAATCCAATTCCACGTCGTTGTTGAATAAACTGACTAAAGCGAAAACTTACGAACTTTAGTCATAATCTCATCCACCTCATCATTTGAGAACCGAGCCCAAGGTACTGTCAAGCGGATCATTCTGTCATTAATTTCGATCTTATGTATAAAGGAAACCAGTGTTTAAGACAAAGAAAATGATTGGAAATATTTGAATTTTAAATTTATTATTAGAAGTATTCATAGGCCTCGCCGGATTAAGCAAGATTTATATTTGATATTAATAAATTATATATTTGGTAAGATTTGATTTGATTCGAAATTTGAGATTTTAAAAATTTTTCAAATTTAGTTTAAATTAAAAAAAAAATAAATCTCAAATCTTCTTATTAAACTTAATTTATATAATAAATAATTAAAAAATATGATTAAATTAAATTTGATGAGATTATAGTTAATTTACATTTATATAAAAATTAAAAATAAAATTTATATATGAAAAAATTTAAAATAAAAATTAAATTTAACAAAATATATAATTTTTATTTTTAATTTATATATATATGAAAATTAATTAATACATAATTCACATATATATATAAATAAAAATTTTATATATGCGAATTTGAGTCGAATTAAGTTCAGATTTTAAAGTTTTTATTTAAGATTCAGTTTAAAATTTAATAAAATTTGTGTCTAAATTAATTTAACAGGTTTTATTATTATTATTTTTTAATTTGGATGAACTTTGGATTATTGAATAGGTCTGGTTGTTGTAAGTTATTTTTTAAAAATAACTACACAAATTGAATTAAATTTTGGATTTTATGCAATTCTTTAACTAATGATATGCCATGCTAATTTGATTTTTTTTTTCTCATCACATGATATACATTAATACAAAAAATCTTTTACCTTTTATAAAAAAATACACTAATATTTAAGAATCTTTAAAATATTAATTATTATTTAATTAAATAAAAAGATTTTTTTAGATTGTTACATTACATGTGATCAAAAAATTAATCTACCTCGTAAGGCCATATGATCATCAAAGGATCAAATTCAAAGTTCATCAATTTTGTTTTTATTCGCTTCCGGGCACATACGGACAGTCACATAGAGAGAAGGATTTGAATCCTGGGAATTTTTTACAATAAAATCAAGTCAAGGGGATAAACTAGTATCTAATTTTTTAATACATTTATATCCTTACCTTCCACTTTAATTTTTTAATAAATTGACCCTAAGACGTTCTAATTGCTACTTATTTGATAGAACGTATTGGCAAATTGCAAAATGGTCCGTTTTAGAGTCCAAAGATTTTTTTATCCTCAACCAACCATTCGGAATATATACAGACATTATGCTTGCCAGCAGCTATCCATTATCATTGCAAATGAGTTGTTATCCATTCAGTTTAGAAAAATTATCTCAGATTTTAAACTCTATTAGTAGAACTATTGCAAATAAGTTGTATATTTATTAGAATATATTTAAAATTATTAAATTAATATAATAAGTAATGAGATATACGATAATATTTATTTTAAACTCGTTGGTAACTTTTTAACATATACCTTTAATAGAATACAACAATAAATTAAATTTTATATTATATAATTATGAGATTGGCTATATGAAAGTAATAAAAAAAATTTTATTAGGTCATAATTTTAAATTTTTTTACGTTACTTGTTTTTATTAAAAATAATATTTTTATTTACTTCTTTTAACTCTCGTATATTATTTTTTTATTAGATGCATCCATGTCTTTTATTGTTTATCTTTAAAAACTTTGGTTTTTTCTCAAATCCATAAGCTCATTTCCTCTAATTAATTCTAAGATAAACCTATGTTTTACATATCCCAATCATCTTAATTGATCTTTTCATCTTGTTTTTAATTTTAATTTTTTTTAATTTTTTTCAAATCTCTTCATTTATAATTTTATCTCTTTTAGTGTTATCAGATATCCATCTAATTTTTTTTTTATCTCAACTATACTCATTTTCTCTTTATATTGTTTTTTAACGATCTAACATTCAATCTGATATAATAATACAGGCTTTTAACTTTAAAAACATGTTACGATAATATAATATACTCGACGTATTTTATCACATAATTCATTCTGCTTAAATTTTAGGATTTAATTTTTTTTAACTTCAACATTGCTCTAAATAATTAATTTTTAATATCAAAAATGATTATTTTTTAATATTATCTTATTATCTAATTTAATCATATTAACACTTATTTTTTTATAATAACTAAATTTATATTTCATACATTCAATTATAAATTTAATCAATTTAAAGCGTCAAAATTTCAACGTATTTTGTTATTTAAAAATATCTTGAAAATAAGTTTCCTAAATTTTAAAAACATTGTATGACTAATTTAGTTATAATAGTAGTTCCTTTTATTTAAAAATAGTATAAGCTTTTTTTTTTAAAAAAAAAGGGTAATTATTACAAAATTTTGGAGAAAAAATTATTACATATTAAGTCAATCAATCAAGAAACAATACTTTTAAATAAAATTTAGGGTAAAATACTAAAACCCCTAGAGCTAAGTTTGGTTAAAAAAAAATGCACTTATCTTCATTAATTTCAAAAATATCCTTTCATCTTAAAAAGGTGAGATGTTAATTACAAAATTTTTCATGTAAAAAACAAATATATCAGTTCTTAATGAGGTGTCCGTAAGTTGGTCAAGTTCATTGAATCTTTTAAAAGCTCGTACAAGGCTCAATCCGAAACCTATTCAATTTAAATTTATTCTTAAAAGTAATTACAAATATTTTTATAGTTATATTTTAATATTTCAAAATATATTTTAGAATTTAAATAAAATATAATAAAATATTTTAACAAAATTGAGTTAGACCCTATTTAAATCGGGCCAGACTTCCGTACTACTGAGCACGCGGTCACATCTATTTTCTTATTTATTTCTACTCTAAATTTTTTATTTTTTTGTTTTTTATTTTATCCAATACTTTTTTAACTACAAAATTATCAGATTTAGTTAGTTATAAATTAGGTTGAGATTCAATTAGTTTAAAAAAATCATCTTTCATAACTATCAAATTTAATTTTAATTTATTTATATTCTAATCTATTTCCATATCAAATATACTAAATTTATCTTTAAATTCAGATATATTAATTTAAGATGAATGTATTAAATTATTTTGATAAACATCAATCAAGAAAAGGTTAATATATTTATCTTTAAATTCAGATATATATTAATTTTAATATGAATTATTAAATTATTTTGATGAACATCAATCAAGAAAAGGTTAAGTAATAAATAAATTGATTAAAACCAAAAAAATAAAAGAGGAGGAAAAAAAGGAAGTACTTTTAGTATTTAAATTAAACTGTAAATAAATATTAGTGTAATTAATGGAATCCTAACATCAATTACTTTTTCAAGAGGGAAAGGTTTTTTTCTTTCTTTTTTTTTTTTTTTACAGAATGTTTGAAAATATTTTCATTAAAACTTTATGGGTGACAATTATTTTTTTAATTGAATTAGTAAAACAACTAAATTATAATTCAAATAAATTAAAATTTAATTTGATAGTGATTAAAGGTGATTTAAAAACTTTTATTAAAAATTATTTGAAAACTAATTGAATATTACAAACTAATTTACAACTAATTGGATTTCAATTTTTTTAGTTAGTAAAAGAAAATTAATGAAGGATAAAATACGAAATGGTATATTAATAAAAAAAATAATAAATTGTATATTTATCTTTTCAATTAAAACTTTGACCCCATTTTTTTAGGTCAGTGAGTACTTTTGAAATTAATTAAGGGGATAACAGTTTTTGGGGAAAAAAAGGATGAGAGTCTATTTTTCAAATTAATAAAAGGATTGTCCATTCGTATTAGATCGAATTAGACAATATGTTTATTAAAATTTAATTTAATCTGGTAATTTGTATTTTAAATTTTGTTTAAGTTTGTCCAAATTAATAAATGATATAGTCAAGCCCTACCTATATAACTTTTTTTAAAATTAAAAATATGGTATTTTTGTTTAATCTTTAATATTTTGTAATTTTTATTAAATTTTAAAATATGAATAATTTAGTATATTTGTGAAAATTTACACTACAATATTATATATTTATCTTTTATATAACAAATATAAATATAAAAAATTTATAATTTATAATTGTTAGAGCAAGTCGGGCCAAACATGTGCCTTAGACGTTAGAACCAATGCTCAGTCTGTTTTTCTAAACGAGTCTAATTTGTTTTTTCAAATCTATTTAATAGACTTAAATTTTTATTTAAATCCTCTCAAATATGGTTGGCTTTTGAATTTAGACAAACAATCCAATATATGTAAATTTCAAGAGTTTTTTTTATGTAATATATACATATATATATATATATTTCGAGAGACTATATTTGTAAAATTGTCACAATTTAACTTTGATCTTCATTTTTTAAAAAATATTATATTGAATTAAAATTTTAAAAAATATATTTTCAAATTTTATTTTTAGAATTTTAAATTTATAAAATTAATAATAAGTTAATTTAACAAAAAAAAAAAATCAATAAGAAACAATGAATTTGGGATGGATGGAGTAGCATCTAGTAACCAACTCCACTTTCTCAATTGTGTGTTGTTTTGGTAAGAGTGGTTATGTCTCCTATAAAATGGCCATTAAACTCCCGAACTCTAGTTACCTGAAAATCTTTACTTAGATGAATTAAGCTTACGATCAACGTTTCGAAAGCTTAGTGGTGATTGAACCAGTGGAGTTCCTGATTTCGGTTTAACTCATCGATCCAATTAGGTTAAGTGTTGGATTTTAGTATTAAATAAGTATTAAATGTAATGACTAATGAATACAACAAGAGTTCATTATAATTTTCATAATTGAATTGGGAGAAAATATACAAATTAGTACCGAAAAAAATAAAATATATATTTTGCATCATTAACTTTTAAATAATGTATAATTTATAATATGAACTTTCAAATTATATATTATATTAATATAAATTTTAATTGTATTAATCATATCAATTTATATATGTGATGTCTGATAAATATTATAAAATTATGTATTTATCATACATACTATCAATAATTTTTTAAATGTAAATTAAATATATTTTACCTCAATCGTAAAAATTATTTAGGACCAATTAATCATTTTTTGTCATATAACATCCACATAAAAGTCTTTACAAAATTTCAAAATACAAATTTTATATTTTAT